TAATTGAAACGGGGTTCCAAGGGGCGAAGCCCCTGGCGGGGTGCGGGGCAGCGCCCCGTTGGGGTTCCAAGGGGCGAAGCCCCTGGCAGGGTGCGGGACAGCGCCCCGCGGGGTCCAAGGGGCGGAAGCCCCTGGCTGTCAGCGGGCGGGGTGCGGGGCAGCGCCCCGTGCAAAAATTTTGAATCCTTTCCCCAACGGACATAACTGTTCCCCAACGGACATAAATGTTCCCCAACGGACATAACTGTTTCCCAACGGACATATTCGTTTCGAACAAATGTGTCTCTTCGTTTTCAATTACTGTTCTCCTATATAAGGAGTCGTTCGGCCTCGGTCTCGTATACAGAAAAATGCATCCTTCTCTCTATAATTACAATTCGTTTCTTTTGTCGGAAACAGAATTTCTTCGAGAATTATTCCCACAAAGATTTCGTGAACCCAGACAAGAATAGGGTCGAAATACTTTGTTCGGAAAGTGTACGAACACGATTCATCGAAGTTATCCAGGATTATCACACCCTAAATATCTAACAGATAGATGGCTAGAAAGAGTTGGCGAAGTTTAAGGAGAATTTTTCGGAGAGGTTTGAGTTTGTGCCTAATCTGGATAAGGTATGGTGGTATGGTGGTTTTGAATGACGTAATTGATTTAGCCAAGGTTTATAAGAAGGATTATTTTATCCATGGAGTGAACTTTGAGAATCATATTATTCTATTAGTTAGACATTTTATAAGTATGTGTTAAAGAGATTTGGTTTTGATGAGATATAAAGGGTCTAAAATAGAGCTTGCATTTTTTATGGAACTCTTTATGTGAGACAGGGGAAATTAATATGCATATGGGGTTCAAACAAGGGTATCTAATGGCTCCTTTTATCTTTCTCATTGTGGATGAGGGGCTTAGTGCATTTAATAAGAGGGCGGTCACCTTTACTATCCCCATAATACCGTTTTTCTGGGGGGAGAAGACTATGGATAATTTGAGAAATTTTAAGGCAATTCTTAGGAGTTTTAAGTTGGCTTATAGTCCAAAGGTGCATTTTCCAATAGTTGTATTTACGGTGTTAACTTCTAAGGGTCACTACTATAAATAATATATTTCATGAGAAAGTTTCCACCTCTGCCAATAGAAAACCGAGGTATAATAAACTCATGTTTTATTTGTTTTAAAGAATAAAACCACATATTTCTTTGGTTTTTTAATATAACCAAGGAGAAAAATAATTCTTGACACGCTTCGAATCTTAACTGTTGCAGTTTATGTTTTTATTTCTTTATAAATGTAAAGAAAATGATATATCCTTCGGGTTCCTTAATAATCCGCAGATAAAATAATCAATTGTTACTACATAAGTACACGTTAAACATAGTTTACCGTAAATCTAATTGGTATGCAACCGCCCCAAACTCGTATGCATAATTCTTTAGGATGAATTGCATGACAGAAAAATATTCAATGTTATGTGTTCTCCTACGTTGAACAAAACATTTTTTATGTCCTTGCAATCTATATCATATAATGGTGTTGATGTTGTTGTTGTATTTTTAGAATAAACTTCTTATGTTATGAATGATTGAGAAGTTTATTCCTCGGTTATAAATTGCACAAGAAAATAGTGACTAGTAAAAAATTGAAATGGAAACATGACATGTTACTTTCCATTCTTTATCCTTTATTATTTTTTCTTCAAACTTATTACCTCGGTTTTTTTTCTAAAATCGAGGGGTTTAATTATTTTATTTTTCTATTTTAAAAAAGAAAAAAAATTTCCTCTCAATTTTCTAACATAACCGGGGATATATTACACAGCTACAACAACGGATTTCTACCCTACATTCACAAAGGAACAACGCTCAAGATTTTGTCAAGATATCAATCCCCAACAAAATAACTACATCCACCACTATATATTTTATTCTCTTTCTCGTGAAAGCATTTGTTCAAGATAATGAAATATTTGCTTCAAGTTAAAGAAGGTTGAAAATTTTATTTATGATGAATTGCAAATGTAAAAAATCAGTTTCGATTCAAGTTAAACAAAGAAAGGAGTCTAACCTCTGAAACGATTGGAAGCTCATTCTTGATTCAAGATATGCAACAAAATCTAGAATAGCAGCGACGATGATGAATTTTAATATTATTGTAAACAATGTAATGTTTTAAAATACTTATTCACCTCATTTTTTGTCAAAACTAACGGGTTAATATGGCGTGATTATTGAGGATATTTATCAAATTTTTGTCGTCAATTTCATGATTATCAACGCTCAAGACACATCCATTAGCGATCTGCGTGAAACATAACAAACATCCATTATAAAAGCAATCTGAAAATAAAAAATCATTAGTGAAACATATAACATGAAAATTTTGAATTGTAAAGAAGCTTAGTAAAATTCTCTATGATGGATTGTAAGTGCATAAAATAATTTGGATTTAAAGTTTGAGTTCTTCAACAATCATATAACTGTATATTTATTTTATTTAATTAACTTTTTTTTTGTTTTACCTCAAACAAATGAATGCAAACGCCATCTGTAATATATTGCATCCAACATTTTCTCTTCTCCAAGATTTCAATAAAATGAGGATTCAACATTTGATCTTCACTAACAATGATGATGATGAATCAGATTCAAAAATTGTTATATATTATTACAAAAATATTGTGTAAACAATGTAATATTCTAGGTAAACAATTAATTTATTAATATTTTGTAGTTTGTAAAGAGTTATTTATAAAAAAAAATATCTTACCCCTTGATTTTATCGATAAATCGAGAGGTATATTGCGCTAGTTTTGAAAATAATAAAAATGCATATGATGGGATTCGAACTCATGTGCATATAATTTTTTCCCTCAATGCTTTAAAAATCTATGCGTAAAATGAAAACTTTTCATGACGCCCTTTGTTACCTCGCTTCTGTAGCCGGTGATAGATGTATTTTGCGTCTGAGGTGAAATGTGTTTTTTGTAGTAGTGGGTCTGTCATACCCTAATTTTGTCACATGATCTTTCATTCACTGCATTTATGTCAGTAGTCGGTCATTCATACACTAGGTTGACCAAAATTCAACCTTAGGTCAACATTCTCATTGTTTATAAGTCAAAAATATCTGAAATCATACTTCATGCATTTTTATTTCTTTACATCGCCACATGCATCGCGAGAAGTTGATCAAAATTCAATCAGAATAAAATAAACAAAAATAAACTATTGAAAGGGGCAACTACGCCATCCTCAGTAACCAAAGTTATCACTCCTCAGTCTAAACATGGGAATTACATGTATAAAGTACAAAAGTAGAAATATAGAGAAAAGAAAGGGATGAGAATACATTCCATAATTTAAATGGTGTTAAAATAGCAAGGATAAAAATAGTTATCATATACAATCAAATCACAGTCATCCCGGGGGTAGAAGTAGAAGTCTCAATAGTTACCACGACTTAAATACCTTGAGAATTTGCAAGAGTGTAAAATAGCTTCAACTTGTTCACGTTTTCCGTGCTATCTGCAAAATATGTTCAACTTATTCACAGCAGGATATATGTTCATGCTAAGTGATGTACCAATTGTTTGAAATTCGAAAAAAGAACCAGTAATGACATTATCTTCGTGTGAAGCAGAGTACATAGATGTTTTTCTTTGTGCATGTCAAACAACATTGATGGTGAAATTTGTAAAAGAGATTACATGTAAAAATCATGGAGCAATTACCATGATCGACACCATGTCAGCTATCAACCTGACAAAGAATCTGATAGCGCATGGTCGAAACAAGGACATCAAAATGAGGTTTCATTACCTTCGAGAGCAGGTAGCAAAAGGAAAGATGAATTTAGAACACTACAGAACTGAAAATCATATTGCAGACATCATGACAAAGGATGTGCAGGTCAAAGTATTCAAAAGACTAAGAGTTATGATGAATATACATAACTTAGACACAATAAACTAAGTCGTGTGTTAAATGTGTAATTTCTTGTGTCGGGGCAGGATGTTGCTCGATACAAGATGTGTTAAACACCAGTATGTATATATGTCGAATTAGTCTAGATAATGTGTCGAAGCAGTTTTCACATATATTTGATTTAATTCCAAAATAGATAGTTTCAACTTTTATAGTTTTGAACTTTTTGACTTAGAGAACAAACTAACATAGAACTATAAATAGAAGGAATAACCCTTATTCTTATCGCAAAGGATAGAAATTCATTTCAGATCAGTTTGATGGTTCAATTCGATTTATGAAATTTTTGAACTCCTACTCGCAACAACACGTGATCTTGGCGCAAAGGATATCACATGAAGCAACATCACCATAATAACCACAAATGAAGCTAACATTATTGATCTCATCAAACCATCAAATCAAACCGCCTCTCGATTTTCAGACTAAGGGGGCAAACTAAACATATGAGAACATTAAACACTAAAATTTTCAAACTCATAGATTGAATCACCAATATACCCACGTGTGAATGATATGAGCCATACTAAACTGATTTTAAATATAAACACATTCTAACTGATGCTAAATGTTTTGGAAATCAAGAAGTCAACTTTAAACGTATCTCTATAGCGAAGAGTATTTTAGGAGCATCTATATACAAAATAGAAAGATTACATACACTACATAATTGTCTTAATATATGTGAAAATCATAGGTGAGGCTTAGAAAAAGAAATGGGTGTAGTAAATTGCACATGGCAACATTATTGCTACATATAGTATAGTATAGTATATTGTTACAAATCCAACCAAATACTGAATCAGTTGGTCCTGGTGCTATTTCTTCAACCCAACATCAGGTAGCATTTCTGTTATTCATCAATTAAAATCAAGTATTGAAAATGACTAATTATGTCAAAAAATAACCAAAACTAGCAAGAACCATCATAATATAGGGCAAAAACTGGTGAAATAATAAATTGCGGCTCTAAAATTTGTCACATGCTTTAGAGGTCACTTACCAGTCCCAAATTATTGACTCAGCTAGCCTACAGCATCTGGCTGATTCTCTGGCAAAGCCTCCCTGAATGCTGGGATATCATAATATGTCTCATGTAATCTTGAGAGAATAGGGAACTCATTCTGCTTGGACAAATGAGAGTCCATCATGAATTTGGGCAATACAGTATGACACATGACAAAGATTTCACTATAGAAATATAACGAGTTCCACAATTACTGGTTTTTTCCATATTGAATTCCCTGTTTTTTTCCATATTGAATTCCCTGGTTATTAATACATGCACTTCACCAATATACTTTGTTGTGTAAAATAAATAGCTAGCTAGCTAGCTAGCTAGCTAGCTAGCGTGCGTGCGTGCGTGCGTGCGTGCGTGCGTGCTAGCTAGCGTGCGTGCGTGCGTGCGTGCGTGCGTGCGTGCGTGCGTGCGTGCGTGCGTGCGTGCGTGCGTGCGTGCGTGCGTGCGTGCGTGCGTGCGTGCGTGCGTGCGTGCGTGCGTGCGTGCGTGCGTGCGTGCGTGCGTGCGTGCGTGCGTGCGTGCGTGCGTGCGTGCGTGCGTGCGTGCGTGCGTGCGTGCGTGCGTGCGTGCGTGCGTGCGTGCGTGCGTGCGTGCGTGCGTGCGTGCGTGCGTGCGTGCGTAGTCCACAATCATTGAATCTAAAGCTCAAGCAAATAGGGAATGGCCAAAGACCTTTGGACATCAGCCTATATTTGTTGGGAGTCTGGACAAAACACAAGGCTAAAACTTCCTTTCTTTAATTATAGTAGGGAAGACGGTGAGTGGAGATATATCTTTGATAGGAAGCTATAGTAATGGCCCCACAGAAATACAAACCATATGTTTCATTATAACCCCTTATTCCCCATAACATATAAACAAGTTCATAGAATACTACCATGTCAATGTTGAATTTATTAGTTGCAGCATGTATCTGAGGTGCTAAAAATATATCCGCCTGCAAATGATAATGAACATGTTAGATTATACATAATTAAACCGAAAATACATTCCAAAAAAGATGCAAATCTAGTGGTTGTTCCTACAGCTAACCCTATTAATTTTCCAAAATTTGTGATCATTAATTTGGGAGTTGAATTGCATTATATTCTAAAACATCGGAGGATAAAAGCATCTATTGGATTATACATTAGAAATCAGACATTCAAATAGTTGATATTGCTAGCCATATGGTTTTAAATTGCAGTTGCAAATGCGGTCATTGCGGTTGTTGCAATGCGCATTGTGGCCGTTGCGGTGTGAATTTTTATAGGGAGGTGCTTGAAATACAATATTGAAAAACATTTAGTGTTTAGTTTTTTCATTACATCAGAAAGTAAATTGAGTTTTAGGATTCTAATATTTTGATTTTTGATAAAAAACACTTGAAGAAACATGATCAAAATTGTCTGATGTGGTGATGTGGTTCCTAATACAGTCGGAGGAGTGATTTTAAAATCACACTGCAATTGCGGTCCAATGCGGTTGCGGAGGCAACCGCATCCGCAATATTGCAATTGCAATTCCAGTTGCAGACTGCAATTTAAAACCATGGTAGCCAAGATTTTTCAGCAACTGGACCCTTTTGAAAGATTTATTTACTCATTTGATTAGTTTCAAACAAACAAACTCTGATGATTCGCAACATACCATAGAAACTTGGTCTCCAGTAGCATACCTCCCAGTGAATTCTTTCAATAGCTTTTCAAGTGCTGAAACACATTCAATTGGAAATACATTGTAGATTGTAGATTAGATTAAGCCAACACCACACTGAAATTTGCATAAGGTAAGGAAATCTATATCTAGTAAAGAGGGACATAATATAAGCAGAATATTTCTTCAACTATTAACAATATATGCTAGTTTGTTAAAAGATAGTCAAGACCTAAATGCTCACGCTACCAAATGTTCTTTCCACTAGTAGAACTAGCTATCGAAGAGCCAAAATCCTGTCATATCGGACGCTTTGTAGCGCCGATATAGCAGAAAAACCCGCAACATCGACCCATATTTATCATTACGGAGAGCCCAAAAACTACCATGTAAATCCACTATAGCGGCGCAAATGCAGATATTGGTAACACTGCTATGAAATAATATCTTTTGCTACAATTACTCTAAAGCAATTGGTGAGATGATTAGTGTAATTTCACCTGTGAAGCCTTTTCTAATTACGCTCTGGACCCACGGAAGTTTTTCATCGGGGCCAACATTAATCTCGATGTACTTCTGCAAATAGAAAAGCAAATTAGCAATGAACTTATCCTATGCACGGTTACTTGATCCATTTTCCCCTTTCAAAAATTAGAAGAAAAAAGAGGTGAAAGACATACTACCAGAAGGTTTAAGTTATGAAGAGGTTGAATTGATGAAGAAACAATACTAACAGCCTGTGAATCAAATCAGTTACAGATTAATTTAATTTGAGGAAGAAATAACCTAGAAAATCAATTACAACATAAGAATGAACTTCTAATTTGAATATAAAATTGATATCATCTGATTCTAATTAGTTTAATTTTACCTGGAAATTGATTGCTCGTTTGCGAATATCAGTAGGGAGGAAAGGATGTTGAGGATACTTGTCCTCCAAATACTGTGTGCATAAATAGAAATCATGAAAAGGAAGAGATTAATGAAACAAAGATAGAGTGAAAGAAACGAACCATAATAATGGCGAAAGAGTCGAAAATGACAGAATCGCCATCGACGAGAACGGGAACAAAACCCACAGGGTTAAGCTGGAGAAACTCTGAATATGTGAAAATGAAATTAAAAAAAAAAACATAGTGTTGTAATTGATAATAATAATAATAGTGGTATAGATTATGATAAGAAAAAAAGAGAAACCAGGATGAGACTGTTCTCCTTTCAAGAGATTAATTGATTTGTAATCATATTTGAGACCTAAATGAACGAATGAAAAGAAAAGAAGAGAGTGTTAATGATTTGTATAGTTGGTAATAAACAAATAAATAAATAAACAAGAGTGATAATAGTACCTTTGAGGTTGAGAGCAATACGGACCCGGAAGGAACATGAACTTCTCCAATATCCATAAAGAGTCAGATTCTGTTCTTGCTGTTGTTCTTTACCAACAACTTCACTTGCGCTTGCCTTGTTCCAATCAACCAAACACAAGTGAGTTCAGTTATGAAGTAACAAGGGTAAATAATAGATATAGATGAAAGGCGAATGAATGAAGAAGATGCATAGCACACCACTGAGTTCATGTCGGTGCCACCCGCCGTGCTTAAACTTTCTTTCTACTTCAAACCACAACAGTTTGATAACATCGAGTATAGAGGGTTGTTTGTATATTTTATACTCCACTTGTATATGTCACACCAAATTTTACAAACCGTACACCTTACATTTTGTATTTTACTACTTTCTCCATCTTTTATTTTTGTTTTTCACTAACTTTTAAAAATATTTTCAATTTTATTTTACTATTTCAAAATTATTATTTTCTTACATGATTTTTCTTTATTATTTCGATTTAATTTATTATAATTATTCTTCAATTTTAATTTATTTTTTTATTTAATATAAATTTTAATCATTGTAATTACGTTTATAATTTTTATTTTTATGTTCATTTTTTTCCAAATTTATTATGTTTTTCTATTATATTCTAGGATAAAAATGTAAATTATTAATAAAATTTCTCTCATCCTCTCTTGAATCAAATATATTTTTAATCAAAAAATTTCTCTTCTTTTCTCCTCTCCTCTTTTGAACCAAACATATATATATATATATATATATATATATATATATATATATATATATATATATATATATATATATATATATATATATATATATATATATATATATATATATATATATATATATATATATATATATATATATATATAATTTTTTTAAAAATCTCTCTCCTCCCCTTACTTTCCCTTCATTAAAATTCCTTTCTCTCTCCCATATTTGAACCAAATAAACCTTTAGATTTTGTTTGGATTGATTGAATCGGATGGAACGAAGCGGAATGAGGTGGCAGAGAATGATATTCAATTGTTTGAATTATTTAAAATCAGATGGAACAGAGTAGATTGAAGTGATATGTATTCCTTCCATTCCATCACTTACCACCATATTAATTTTCCTCTGATTTTAACGAAATGAATAACTTGTCTTGTTATGTCCTAAAATTTTCAAATAATAGAATTGTATCTTCGTTCCGCTTCGTTTCATTATGCTCCATTCACTCCGTTTTATTCTATTCCGCTCTGTTCATTTCATAATATAATTGTTCAGACAAAATTTTGTTTATTTTATAAATAAAAAAAATTATAATCACGAGGGTAAAACGATAATTTTTTTTACTATAACATTTTTGTCATTTTACTAAAATTATATGTTATTTCAAGTTAGTAAGACTGGTCGAGATTTTTAGAAATCATTAAATCATGATTTTCAAAATAATGGATTAATTAGTAATATTGATTAAGTGATAAGGTCATTTTGGTCTTAATAGATATGTATATATAACTCCATTCCTAATTAAAATCAAGTGAAGGGGCTCTAGGTTAGTGCTTGATGTAGAATTGGAGAAAGGAAGAAGAAAAAAGTTTAACTCTCAGAAGCTCAACCTAATTGATCTTCTCCAATTTAATCTTTGATTGAGTAAGGTGAGTATTACTACTACACCATTTTTCTCTTAATTTATATTTAGCATCATTTAATACTCACTTTTTCTTCGTGCCACGAGAATCAACACTAAGCATTAGGACGGGAAATTATTAGAGAATTAGATTGAAGTTAGTTGTGATAGTTAAAAGTTAGTTATAAGATGTAATTAATATTGTACATTCAACTAACATTGTGTATGTAAGAACATGGATGAGTTTACCATGTTATGATCATGATATTATAGACTTGATAGCAAGAGAATTTTTTTTTTACCAATTCTTCACCTGTATCTAAACTCCATCTTCATCACAATATTCTCTCAATCAAATGTGGTATCATTATCATATGCAAGAAACTAAAAGATGGAATTGAGATTATAAAAAGAATTAGGGTAGGAAGGAGAAAAGAATGATTGGTGTGTATGAAAGTGATGTTGAAAATTATATATATATATAGGTATAATAATACATGTTTCGTGCCCGCGATAATTAGCATCACGAACGCGATGCGACTGGATGTTTCCCAATAATCTGATCCAATTAACACTTGGCACACATGTTCCCAACAACTATATCGCAATAGTGTTATAATGCCCCGCGTCCATGATGGGATCCCATCACTAAGATAATTCAATAGAGTTTATTTTTTTATTTTTTCATTCTTTTTCATTTATTTATATTTCTCCTTCTTTTTCTTTCTATGTTCCCTCTTTTTCCAACTTTCACCACCTGACTTGGATTCTTCAATCAACTCCAATCTTCAGCTGAAAAAACTCTACAGAATATTTTCCACAGAAATAGAACAATTTTCATAAATAGTTTCTTAAAAAGTCTCAATCGATCCTTTTTAGAACCCAATCAAATCTGCACTTGTTTCTAACAAAATCCTTGATTGACTTGTGTCTCTAATGAGTATAGAATATTCCAGATACTCATATCTTCAAATCAAATATTCAAGGATATCCACAAGCAGCGCCTACTGCATCAGCCTTAGGATGTCACAACATCTTCTGTGACATCTGGAAGAAAAACTCATAACAACAAAACATGTTATGATAATTGATAAAGATGTTGCACCATCTTACTCAACACCCATATAAAAACATGCCTCTAATCATGCTTAGTCAAAATTTAACCAACCATAGAACCATGGAACTAACAATATCACTTAGTAATTTATAATTATTCATTTTACTCTTTTTTATTCCTTTTACTAAAGATTTTAAGTTATTGTTGTTTATCCTAATTGATTTTAAATGTTGTTCAAATTATAGGTGATTAACGACCAGTAGCAAATCCTAACATAGAATTGTTGGACAGCCTACACAAGTTTCCATTATGGTTATTGCTTTTGTTGGTTAATCATTTGTTTTAGTTTTGTTGTAAAATTATAAAGTGTGTACCATTTTGACTTTGCATTTGGTGTAAAAAATGAATATTTGTGGTACAATTTTTCTGTTTGAGAAATTGGCAAAATGTACAATGTTTCAGATTCAAGAGTCTATAAAATGTATTGTTCTATATTTTGTGATATGGTTATGTAATACAGGTGCATACGATCGTACTTAAACAATCGTATCCCCTCGATTTTCACTTAAAACCGACGTAAAAATATTGAGCTATTACCTCAATTTTACACACCGAGAGTTAAGTTGCGCTTGACATCTAATTTTAAAGTTATAAAAATGCAGATAATGGGGTTCGAATCTATGTGCAGGTAACTTAACCCCTCGATTTTTAATTAACCGAGAGGTAAAGTGACAGCTTTTCATGATGTCATTTGTTACCTCGCTTTAGTAGTTGAAGTTAAATGCATTTCACGCTCAAAGTTAAATGTGTTTTTTGTAGTAATGTAAGTTCGACCTATTAAAAGCCCTTATGTTAAATCAGAGTAGCCCGCTTATTTTATTTAATATTTTTTACAAAAATTCTAACACACTATACTACTAGGATGTGTTTGATTTGCAAAATAAGAAATACATGACAGAATAGTACTAGACGGTACATAACATCACAACATAACTTTTGTATTGTATTTGGTTTGATGATCGATGCACGGGACAATTTTTTGTCTATTTCGTTTGATATATCTATGCACTAAATAATATAGTTTTTACTATAATACTTGTATTGATATATAAAATATTGATATTCATTAATTAAAATGTTAAATAATGAGAAGGTGGATAAATATGATGAAGAGGGGAAAAATTTACTCTAATGTATTTGATATGTCTATGCGTGAGACAAAAATAATATAATATTATTATAATATTCAAACCCAGGAACACCTGCATCTTGAACTATTCATCCAACCACTGGGGTAATTGTTTTTTTGTTGAACATAATTACCCCAAACTCAATTACTATAAAAATCAATTAATCATAATAACTAAAAAAATCTCCATATCTCCATCTTCTTTACCAACAAAATCAAACAAGACCATAACCTATTCTTGTAAGAATCACCATTGGGATAAATTTTATAATGTAATTTTCTTTCTTTGAATGAAAATTGAACTCTCCTTTTGTTTCTCATCAAATTAAAGTATTGATTTTAATTTGAAATTTCAATCAATTTAACCTAAAAGTGAAGTGCTTGGTTCATTAGAATGAAATTGCAGAGAATAAAAAGTTTCAAGTAAAAGAAAATCATAGAATAATAATATAAATCAAAAAGAGAAGGTTGATAATCAATGATGATAAGAGAAACAGAGCCATGTTACAAGCACAAAAATGGCGGTTCATAGCGATTGCAGTGCCTGTAGGTTAGTGCGGAGAAGAAGAAGAAATGGAGAGAGACAAAATAAAAAGGAGGTTTTAGTTCAAGATAAATCTCTAACTTTGGAGATTTTTGTGCCATGGCTATGGTGTAATGATGAATGAGGAGTTTTGCTTAGTATTTGTAGTTGTATTGATTTATGTTTAGAGCAGGTTTGTGATAAAACTTTCATAGTATGATTAATGATAAGTAGTGAGAGGTTAGTGAAGGTTATAAGTGGTTGATGGTGTAGTTTTAATTTTGAAAATTACAGGTTTAGTTTATCAGTTTTTGGTTCATGGTGATGTTTAATTTTGTTGGGGAAGAAGATGCAGAGCACGTTTAATTAACCATTGCACAAATATGTAAAAATAATATTTTGTAGGAATATAAAACAAAGCACGTTAAATATCCTAGTGGCAAAAGAATATGATCTATGAGGTAAAGAATGGGGGTTTGAATCCTGCCTTTTGTAGGACTTTTGAATTGTTTTTACTTTTTAAGTTTTCAAAGTTTATTAAAACAAATCCATGTTCATTTAAAATAAATAAATAAATAAATAAAATAAAATGTTTGATATAAATCTAGCTAATATTATAGGGGAATTTGTATATTTAACTCTAAATAAAATAATAATATTATATTTGATCGTATCTGATCAGAATGGACCGTCACAGCTAGTTCGAGCAGAAGTTAAGAGTGAAATGGGGGGTACCTGCAAGACACTCTGATGTCAAAGTGAGTTTCAGAATGAGCAAACAAGTATGAGAGTTAGAAAGTGTTGAATACCTAACCCTCTCAGAAGAGAGGGTATTTA